TAATGTTAAGCCCCAGTAATTCACTTTTGTCTCTGAGCTGCAAACTGGTAAGACTCTGTTGCTGATCAAGTTGGAAAGCCAGAGCCCCAAGCCTTCACGCAAGGTTTGTACACCCTCCCAGAGATCCGCTTATGGCACCACCAGGGCACAGAGCATGTTGCTCGACTGAAGTCTAGGGCTGTGGCTGTAGGTTATCGTTAACATCTGGCTGTGTATGCATTGCGAGACAGGGTTACCTACAGGAAAGTTGTTGTCTGCTCGCTGGGGTTTGGCGTCTTGTGGCCCCCTGATTTGGCAGCTTCTGTGGTGCTTAGCGGCATATGGCTGCTTGGTCAGGCACGGGAGCCTTGGTGAAAACAGTGCTTTGTGGTGGCGTGAACTTGACTGCCCTTAAAACAATTCCTGATAGCTGAATGCAGAGTTCAGCTTAGCGCATCTTTGAAGGAGATTCAACCATTGTCTTTGGCAGTTTGGACCCTTCTCTCTTTTACATTTAGTCTTAACTTATTATTTAATGCAGTATTTCACCTGTATCTTCTCTTGAGTCCTTCCTGCAGACTGAACCTGCCCAGGTCTTTTTCCAAAGTTTATTCATTTGTTTTGCTCTTCAACTACACTCTCTTTGGTTTCTGCCTCTTACACAGAGCACATTGCCCAGCAGAGCGAAATATTTAGCTTTCAGCTTCGTGGCATTCATGTACCAATGCATCCACAGTATAAGACACAGTGGAACTAGAAATACTTCATAACAGCCATTACTTTTGTAACTCTTTAAACTATTTCACACTTCATTTGGAAGCCTCCCCAGTGGTAGATGGCTGGAGCAGGCTTGAGGAAAAACTGAAGGGCACAGCTCTGCAAAAAACATCATTGGTAAATGGCAATTCTCATGTGTTTATTCAATTTTAGAAATAAACTATTTTATACAAACCAAAAAGAAAATAGAACAAAGGTTTCTGTGGTCTGTACCCTGGAAGCACTGGAAATGTGTCCTTCAGCAGTGCTAGTTAGAATCACAGTTAAACATGGGCTTAAGAATTTAAGATTGCAGACACGATGTTCTCTGTGTTGCTGATCATTCAAACTGTAAACTATCTTTGCAGATTTTCTGTGACTGTATTTCTTGTTTCTCCTGACTGAAATGTTTCTATATCTATCTATTTATATGTATTGTTATATGGGTATTTATTTTCCCACTACTGTGGTATTCAATGTCTTATCTGTTTGAAAAATCACAGGAGGTTGCTTTCGGTTTTTATTTTAATACAGATACATTCTCTTAGTGGGTTGTAACTTTCTTACTCACATTAATATCTGTTCAGTCTGTGTAAACAGTCAATACATTCCCATTTTCTGTGGAGAAAATAAACCAAAAAAAGTCTCATCAAGATTAATGTGATCTATAAAGGCAGAAGTTGATTTGTTTCTCTGTTTTGAGGAGCTGTAACCTGGGCAAGAAGTTCTCCCTCCACCCTTCCAGTGACTTCTGTATTTTTATTTATAAAACAACCCTACCTCAAAGATAGGCTTAAGTAATATAACAATAAGAATCATTATTAGGGAACCTGAAAAGTTAAATTCTGTATCATCTTTTCTGGTTGTGAATTTTGAAGCACTTCGTATATTTGTATAAAGTACAAAAAGTCTGTACATCACTGATAGTTTCACATCTTCACATTTCGTTAATTGCTACCCAGGTAAGCAGGATAATTTGGTCCAGACTTATGGCTACTGTGGCAGCCTAGAAGCTGACTGAAATATTGAATTGGCAGCCTCTAGTGTGTTTTATAAAGTTTACTGGATCAGAGGTTTTGTCTGAACAAAGACATGACATGCAATAGCTTGCAAACTGGCTAAAACACGAGGTGAAAGCTGGTCGTGGGTTTTGCATTAACTTTCTTTCCTTCAGAAAAAATCACAAGAAAATGAGGGGTGCTAGGTGGAGGGTTTAATTTTAGCATTAGAGCTGGTAGGACAGATGGAGTCTCTCAGGCAGCAGCTCATCTGGCTCCTCTCTTGCTGTGGGCTTGAAAAGCAAGGACCGCTTCATACCCTGACATTCACCCACCCCACAAGAAGTTTACCGTGGGCTCACTTTTCCTTACCCGTGATCCCAGTACCCAAAGCTATACTCTTACACATCCATCTTTCCAGAGACCAAGGTGAACACTATAAAATTAGGTAAATCCACTAATGCTTTTTTTTTTTTTCTTAACTTAGACTAAAACAAAGCATGTAGTATAAGTGTGGAGTAAAAGTGCTTCGAGATCTTATTGCGGCCTTTCAGTACTTAAAGGGAGCTTGTAGGAAAGATGGGGACAAACTTTTTAGTAGGGCCTGTTGTGATAGGACAAGTGGTAATGGTTTTAAAGTAAAAGAGGACAGATTTAAAATAGATATAGGAAAGAAATTTTTTACGATGAGGGTGGTGAAACACTGGAACAAGTTGCCCGGAGAGGTGGTAGACGCCCCCTCCCTGGAAACATTCAAGGCCGGGTTGGACGGGGCTCTGACCAACGTGATCTACTTGAAGATGTCCCTGCTTATTGGGGGGGCGGGGGTTGGACTAGATGGCGTTTAAAGATCCCTTCCAACCCAAACAGTTCTATGACTCTAAAAGACAACCAAAAGTTGATATCCTGTTCTCCCTTTCCCCTCCCCCACTGGAGACTCAAAATCCTCATTTTATTTTAACTTTGCCGTTATTTCAATAACATGGAAGCCAGACTGGCCTTTCAGCAAGCACTCTTAACAACAAAGGCTCTTACGCTGCCATTTGGAAAACAGAGCAGGGTTTTCCCTGACGGTAAGTGTAGTGTCACCTCTACCCCTTGCGTAAACTGGTTAATCTTTACTATATTTCATGTGCCATCCTTCTGAGCTCCCGGTCAGATGTCGGAAGAGTGGCCACCAGTTGGCCTCCTGGACTCAAAGCCAAAAAACAGAAGCAGATAAAGGAAATTATTCACGGCGTAAGGGCTGGATTTGATATCGTGATTTCTCGTACATGTGCAGACACGCAGAGGTCCCTGCTTGCTTTTAAATTAGATTCCCAATTTAAAAAGTCATGACCAAATGAAAACTGAAGCCATCAAAGTGCATCTGATGATACAAAAACTATTCTGCCCTCTAGTGCTGTGAAGCAGTGGGATGTCAGCGATGCACTGCTGTTTTTTGGGGGGAAAAATACATAGTCTTGCAACTCATAATTCCAGCCATTTTTTTCATTGATAAAGGGAGGAGAGTGTAAAAGGTGCTTAGGAATTTTTGTGTATGAACTCTAGAGAAATATGATCTTAATATATGAAACACCCAAGAAAATCTACTCCAAAAAAAAATCTTGAAACTGATAAACTGTACAGCAGCTTGTCAAAGGCAGTTAGGGATTAATTGTAAATGCTACTACTCGGTCAAATAAAGAAAAATCTGAAAAACCATCAGTGATGGGGAATGTTGTGCCATAAGCCAGGTGGGTTGTCAACATTTCTTTTAAGTAACTGTTGCAGCTGTGCTGTGAATGCCAGAGGGTAGTTGCTGCTTTCTTAGCTCCTGCCTTTGAGGGTCTGGGATTCGGTGGAGAGGTGAAGAACAATCTCACGGGTACCCGAGTAAGCTGTCGGGAAGGGAAAGGATCATATTAAATGGCACCATTAAAGCTCGCAGCTCTGTCTTTACTAGTTTAATCTCATAAATTAATCCACATCGTCCTAGAATAAGTCTTCAAAGAAAAAGAGGTAATTGGATATAAATACTTTCATTCTCAAACCTTGAATTACAATGATAAGGCAGCAGTCAGCTTTTTGCACTTTGATCTCTTTGCATGATTTTAGCCTTAGTCTCAGGCCTCATTCTCTCATTACTTTTTCACAGCCAACTGTGCTCTCTCTGCTGCCTAGCTTGTCCTCTAGCCACCACCTGTGGCCCTTTCTTCTTTTAAGAAGCTCAGCCTTCACCCCTCATTATTCTTTGTTTTCTACTCTTCTCCCTGGGCCTTCTCCGCGATGAAGTCAGATGAAATGTTTGTGCCCACGCGCACAGATAAAACCCTGCCGAATGCTGCAGAGAGATGTGAGCTTGCTCTGATACATGGAGCCAACTGCTGCTTAGTGCATTTCTGGGAAACCTGCACCCCAGTGGCTTCACTTCTACTCAGCGGGAGCAATGTGAACTCGTACCCACACAATACGTTGGGTAGATAAAGCTCATTATTTTCTCCAAGTGGAACTGACATGTTTTCATCACTTTCGATCACCTTGAGTCTCTAATACACTCTGAACCCTGTCCTGCTTCTTTGCTGTCACGTTAGATTGATAGCTCCTTGAGACAGCAACTGCATTTTGAATTAAGTCTAGAAAACCAGGGCCTTTGTCCTGATCCAGTGAGTCGGACCTTAGGCATCACAGAAAGATAAATATGCCCAAGGAATTCCCGGTGCCTGACAAATGCAAGGCTGAGAAGGAAACCGAGGCTTGGGCCGAGAGCAAGTCACCTGGGTCCATCACAAACAGTACGATTTCACACGCTCCTTGGACAACTTTTGGGCAGACTGCCTATCTATGAGGTGTGTGGTGCCCTCGAGGTGCGGGGTGGGACTGCCAGCCCCAGTGCTCTTCTCAGTAGACAATGATCTTCCTTTGTGCTTAAGCAAGCTGTGAAAGTAGTCGTCTACCACATGGAACTATTTGATTTGAGGAAGTGATTTGGTTTGAAACGGCTGAGATTAGAGGTCAACAATTTAGAGTGAGGCTTAAATAAGAAAACTGAAGATTATGCTACAAGTGTCTGAAAATGTTATCCTTGGTATTTGTAGCCAATTCAGAATATAACAAGTATTTCTAATTACCAAAAATTCCTGAAGAGCTGAATCAAAATAAATACTGCTTTTGATATGAAGTTGTTTGCTAAAGAAGCAGAAGACTGACCTTGCTGATGAGGAAACCTCTTCCAGTCCTGTTTTTCTGTAGACAGGAAAAGTAAGAGAGTGTTCTCTTTCATTTTAGTGTCGGACCATATGTCTTGATAACTCCAGATGAAACCAGAAGAAACCAGTTGCAGCAAAGTAAGTCAAGTTGTCTAATATGGTAATACATTATTTCTACTTGAATAAGTTAGGGCTTTGTGCACGTCATCGCCCTTGCAACTTTCATCCTCATTTTTACAGTGCTTTTATGTGTGCAGCTGTGACAGTGAAGTCAGTGCTGTGAGCATTCTCCATTATTGTGTAGGCTTTTCTTAATAACTTCTTAACTGGCTGATCCTCATGCAGAATAAGTCTTGTTCAGGAAAAGGTTTTTGGTAATTGCAGGGCTGGAGTTATTCTGGCTGTCTTCTACAAGACTCAGCTGGAATTAGTTCTATCCCACTTTTACAGGGTTGGATTCAGGTTGGAGAACCCAACTTTGAACACTGTCTGGGTTAGGGGGAGGAAAAAGAAAAGTCTAAGTAAGAAACATTTTTGAATTTTTTTTTGGAGACTAAAGCAGCTAGAACCACTGTTGGTTCTTGAATCTCCATTTAAGGACTGTAGGTGGATCTTTTAGTGAAGATGTGAAAGATCATTTTAGATGGAAAATATAATAACTTTTGATTGGCTTCAAGTCTTGGTGGTGAAAGTAGCTAAACAGGAACACCTTGATCCTCTACCAGAAATATTAGGTATGTGTTAAAAAGCTTTCATTGCCAAAAGTTACAACAAAAGAGCCATGAAATAAATTCTGTATGCAGGGGCGACCAAGCACTGCAGTCCTGCACTCCTGGCTATTTGTGCAAGATGTGAAAGCTGAAGGAGTGTCGGTCAGCATTCCTCATGTTATGAGCCCTCAAGGAAACAGTGCAATAAAAACATTTCTTCTCATTGTGAGTTTGGCTGAAATGCTTCACCAGCAGACTGGTGTAGGGTTGGGTTACCTTTGGTTGCGAGAAAGAGAATGGACTTCTCCTGAACCAAATCGTAATCTTCTGCAAGGAACAATAAAAGCAGACCATCATAGAGCTGACCGATGCGAACAGTAGGGATGCTGCTGCTCTAACAGAGATCTGCTTTCACTTTGTGCCATGCAAGGTCTGAAGCATGCCGAGTACTTCTGCCTTGGATACTGGCAGAAATAGGGCCTCATTGAATCCAATCTCTAACCAAGTGCTTGTTTTAAAGATAGAATAACAAGCTGGTGTATGTCTTGGGCCTCTTTAGGGACTTGCCCAGGAACGGGCTGTATCTTGTTAGAGGAGAGCTGGTGTTAGCGTCTGATAGCTGTAGCCTGCCATTAGAAGATATTGCTCTTACTGGTTTTTGTATGAGTGACTTAACTCTTAGAGCAACTGAAGTACTACTCTGAACAGAGCACTGGAACAGGCTGCCCAGGGAGGTTGTGGAGTCTCCTTCTCTGGAGATATTCAAGACCCGCCTGGACAAGGTCCTGTGCAGCCTGCTGTAGGTGACCCTGCTTCGGCAGGAGGGTTGGACTAGATGACCCACAGAGGTCCCTTCCAACCCCGAACATTCTGTGATTCTGTGATTCTGAAACACGGCTCTTCTTTCCAGAGGCTTTGTGCGCCTAGCTACTGAAAGGAATTGGGTTTTTTCCTCTGCCAGTTTATTCGAGAGGGCAGTTTAATCAACCAGCCATCCTAGAGCATATGGCTGGCTACCCTGGCTGTATTGACTAGGCTTCTACTGACTACACTGGGAGCTTGCCACCCATCTCACATGTGGGCACCTGTGCTGAGGTCTCTTAATCTGAAGCTGAATCACACACTCCTCCTGTTTTTACTTAGGGACCATGTGGTTGGGAGGGAAAATTACTTATTCTTCATTTCCCAGCTGAGGAGTGTTACACCGCAAGCATTTCCTTCCATGCAGCAATAACATCTTAATTGTAACAACTTCTGCTTTACCTGCAAGAGTAAATACTGTGACATTTACCTATAGGTTCCTAGGGGTTAAAAAGCAGTCTGTTAGCAGTCCGTCAGCTGATTTTTCTTTTGCTTTTGGGGTTGAGTCCTGGGGCTTGCTCACCATACAGTCTCGAGTTAGGCAAAGCGTTTGTCTTTTGAGCTATCATTGCAGTGACTGTGTAACCTCCTGGGGGTTGTCTGCACCCCTAGAGAACAAGTTTGTCTGTTCCTGGATGGGTCTTCAGGGTTACATGCAGTTACTGATACTGCCTGTTTTTTAGTAGTGCCTCTAACTTCCACGTATTTGTTTCTTTTTGTACCTGTTCAGTTGCTAAGAAAGAGCTAGATGACCTGGAGCGATGGAAGGAAGAGCACAGGCCAGGGCCAATTAAGTTGGATCCACAGAGACTGGGTAAGACATGTAAATCAGCTATTTTGAATTGCAAAATTTTATTTTCCAGGATGTGAGACATTTTTCACTTTTTCTCACACGCTACTTGCTAAAGAGATTCAGTGTCAATAGGGTTAACATGAGCCTACTGTGCTCTGTGGCCTTTGATGGTCATGGCGATGAAGTTATTGCTGAAGCAAAACGCAATAGATTGTCACTCAAATCATCTGTTGGGATCAATGCATAAAAACTATACTAACATTTGGGAAAGGCAGGTGGATTATCCCTCCTGCTGGTGATGTTGTCTGTGGTTGATGTCTCTGAGGGGGCACACAATTGGCATTAGCGTGTAGATGGACAGCACGTGTCGGAGACCCTCTGGTTACCTGTAAGAGAACTCCTCTGTGTTAGGGGCCACTGTGTGCACTTTCCTGATGGCTGGCTCCTGAAGAGGCAGAAGCAGTCCCTGCAGTTCCAGGCATTTGCAGGCTAAACATACATGAGGCTCTGTATTACCAAATTTATAAAAATAGCAACAGAGACAAGTAAATTAAAAACAGGATTAAAAGCTAACTTAAGTCACCCTGAATGGAACTGATGTGTTTGAGAACATAACCAACTTTTTTTCTAGACAAGTGAGAGAAACCGTAGTAGATCTCTTCAATTCCAACCACTATAAAGCATTTAATTTGGTGATATTTGGGAGCTAGTTTAAAAAAAACCCAAAATTAACAGACCAGAAAAAATCCCAACTCACCCTTGTACTATTCTCTGTCTTGTAGAGAGAATAGTACTACAGGTTGTGCTGAAGCAAGAAGAAGGTTATTAGAAGTGCTTTTCAAGTACCAGTCTTCAGACCTATCTTGTTTTAGTATCTTTCTTTAATGTCTTTGGCACAAAAAGTAGGAGAGAGCGGACGAAACTTGCTGAGAAGACAAAACTTGAAAGCATCATCTGTGTAGAACACGATGAGCATACTGTGCAGTAAAAATGGGATGACCTTGAGGAAAGACTAATAGAAATGGGACAAAATTCTTTCTGACAAATTGAGTGATTATAATGATGCCTTTATTCATTTTGTAAATCTAGAGCTCCGCTTCCTTCGCTTGGCTGTCATAGCAGAATTTGGGGTGCACAGTGCAGGCTGTTGTCTGCCCTGACGTGGAATATAAGTTCTTTCTTTGCCGTGCTACACAAAATAAGTTTTGGTGGTGTACTGTGTATAAGAATAGATACAAGGAGGGAGATACACAAATTTGAACTGATTCCAACCCAGATTTGTTTTTGTGGGCAAGGTAATACTGGTCCCATGTGTTTGTTTTGCCCTGCAGCCTGATTCCCAGTTGTTTGCAGTGGTGAACCTACCTTTGCAAGCTGGTGTAATGCCCTATATTCCCACCATCAGATGCACTCGTGGCCAGACATGCTCTTTGTGAGTTCATACATACCAGCTGCTTTTTGCCTATGAATGGTTCCTAGGAGGCATGCTTCTGTCCCAAGAAGACCGCAAAGCTTTTTTGCTGAAGAAGGTGAAATCTGAAAACAGAAATTTGGGATGTGGTGTCTGTGCAGAGTGTGTGCAGTCTGGCTGTATGACTGGGAACGTGGTGGCAAACCCGCAGTAACTGAGCGTGGGGAGTCTTGACTTCTTCTGGTCCCACTGTATTTAAAAACTTTCTTGGGAAAGAAGCAAATTAAGAAGAAAAAAAAGGAAGAAAAAGCTGAAAGAATTCAAGGTTATATGAGCTCTTCAGTCACTGTCTAGCTGCCACTCAGAAAGAGCCATGCACTATGAGAAAGACTCATGCACTATGTTCAGTGCCTCTGAAAAGAGGTAAGGTGCAAAGATTATTAGATCTTATCATTCCCACGGGAACAAATTTGAAACAGAAGAGGGCTCAGGGAAGGAGAAAAAAATACAAGTGGCCTCTCTAATTTCACAACTGTAGGTACTCATTAAGGTATAAAATTATCGTATGTTATTGTCTCAGAGTGATTTTAAGAGACTACACATCTAGTCCAAATCACCATAGAATTCTTAAAGTTAAGGTTTCTTAACACTCATGCTTTCTGCAGGGAAATAGCTATTCTGGATTTCAACTCTGTAATACTTGACTGGCAAACTTTCAGATAACATAGAAGCATGGGAGCAATGAAGGATGCAAGTTCCACCCTCCTCCAGTGAGTGGAGCAACAAATCATGCCTGATAAATGCAATGGCCTCTTTTTTGACCATATTATATAAAACCAGTCACGACACTCTGACTTCAGTGAAATACGTGACACATTACAGCCAAGCCAACTTGAATCAATTAAAGCTGGCTGAAAGGCTATAGGCAATGGCTAATAACGATCAGTAAAAGACTTGTTTAGAGCCGATGTCCAGCAGTACATGCTGAAAAGTTCAGTGAACACAAGAGTGTTAAATGTTGCCAGTAAAAGAGTCCTGAAGGGCAAAGGGGTTCAGGAAGGCTGGACATTCTTCAAGGAGGAAGTCTTAAAGGCACAGGAGCAGGCTGTCCACATGTGCGGCAAGACAAACCGGAGAGGAAGACGACTGGCCTGGCTGAACAGGGAGCTCTTGCTGGGACTCAGGGAAAAAAGGAGGTCTACAGCTTATGGAAGAAAGAGGAGTACAGGGGTCTCGTTAGGTTGTATGGAGAGGAAATTCGGAAGGCAAAAGCCCAGCTAGAACTCAGGCTGGCCACTGCTGTAAGGGACAACAAAAAATGTTTTTACAAATACATCAACAACAGAAAGAGGGCCAAGGAGAATCTGCATCCTTTATTGGGTGCAAGGGGGAATCTTGCCAACAAGGATGAGGAAAAGGCTGAGGTCCTTAATGCCTTCTTTGCCTTATTCTTTAATAGTCAGACTGGTTATTCCCAGGGTAGACAGCCCCCAGTGCTGGAAGATAGGGAAGGA